AATAGGTCCTAATTCAATATGATAGACAGACTATAATGTAACAATCAGACTGTTTTCTACCTTCATCATCCCAAACTGGGTTGGCTTGTACTGATTCTTCTCTTTGAGGTCCATACTCATTCTTACTTTTATTGCGTGTTTATCATACGCCATAATTCGTGGGAAGCAATCATGCTTGAGACTCAGCGGACCCAATTCCAAGTTGTCCAAGTAGAATATCTGAATGTAGAATGTAATTATTAATTCAAACTATATGCAAGCCGTTTATGCAAACTTAATTTTGTTAGGTAATGTAAATACCTGCAGAAATATGACACATCCGTTTATATACGTGGCTTTTGTATCATCACTGAGCTTGTTGGCCAATGCCCGTGCTGCTGCTATAATGTCATTGACGACATACCTCGCCCAGTTCCAGTTAGGGATGTCATCTAAATTCTTGAGCGCCATAAAATATTTAGGACATATATTGTCCAACAAAGTTTGTGGGGTGAGAAATTTTGTCATCAAAAGGAGAATGAAGGCAATCTTGAAGGCAACAATTTCCTCATCCGACATTGGTGCTTCATGTTTCTTGCTTAGAATATCAGTGAGTACACTTCTCGTGATTTTTTTAAACTCTGGGACATTCAGTCGGATGCATATTACATTTTTTATGTGACTGACTTCTTCCGTGGAAGGAATTCACAACTCCTTTCCCGAGAATGGGATACCCAGAACTTTGTGAACATCACCATCAGTGAAGTGCAGAAGAGTTCCATCACCCATTCGAATTGCTATTTCTTCAGTGGATACCCTAGATAGAAGGTTGTGACTAAATTCCCGAGAGTTTGTGATTTCCGGTAGTTTCAAAATTCCGTCAAACTTCATTTCAATGACTAAGCGTTTCTTCTCATCGTTAAAATCTTTCACGATGGACGAAATAGAAATGGGTGTGCATCTAGAAACCGGTGCTACGTATTTAACGGGAAGTGATGTTGACCTAACCGATGGCTCCATAAAGTCATCATCATGAGCTATAGCGGCAGCCATCTTGCCACGACCAACACCAACAATTTTCTTTCTTCTAGCAGTAGCACACCTTTGTAACCTGGGCATGGATATACCTACAATTGGAAAAGAAAAACGTAAATTGCGATGGAGAAAAACGACCGCAATCGGCGACCATGGAGGTGACATTGGCTACCATGGCCAAGCTATACGAAGGAAGAGATGATCACCTGGTATGCTCGTGTGAAGATGAACGATGGACCAATGATGATCTGATGCTTGCGGAGAGGACGAACTAAGGAGGGTGAAATCGGCGGGGAGTAGAAAAAGAATCGGGAAGAGTGGACCACGTATAGGTATGTAAAATGCGTGCTGGATGCTTTAATTTCGTCCAGCTTTAATTCGTGGGCCAAATTATGGCAGTGCATGAGCCTTTTTTTTGGGTAAGCAATCAAATTAGAGCGCAACCTTTATTTTTGGAAACAGTCGAATTAAATATCAACAGAATAATGCGAGACATTATGACAGGTCCTAAATGATCCACATGCAATATTTTTGGAAGGTGGAATCGTGACTGGCCAATAAATGTTTTTAATACTATTATGGAGGGTCCTAATTCGTGTGCATGCCGGTGTATTTAATGTTTTAACGGGTTGGGCAGCTGTAAACCCGATATACCTCGATCGGATGATGAGTTGATCGAACGGTTGATACTCTAGGTGCCCAGGCACTTAGGTGCCCCAAACAATTTACCTATATATATATAGTGATATGCTGATACTATATATGGGACACCTAGGTGCCTGGACACATTGCCTCTCCGCCGTCGGATCGTGTTTAGCGGCTGATTTGGAAACCAATATAAATGTATCAATTGCTAGTTAATTTGCAGGTTTTAATTTGTGGACCATCTCATGCATGCATGTCACATGATATAAAGGCAGAGTATTAAGATGTCATAGGGAATAAAAGTTAACATTTATTACTTCCTTATATAGCATTTATTCCTTTCTTGTATAAAGATCAAATTAGGAGTGGTACGTATGACACATGATTTCATTGGATATATATGAACCCTGCGAATGTACGTAATTTTGTTAGTAGGTATTACATACCCGTATTAGATAGCTAGGAAACAAAATAAAACGTAATAGATTTAAAAATAAATTATTAGGTATATACGTACCTGCATATGTACATAATTACGTTAGTAGGTATTAGATACCCATAGTAGATAGTTAGGAAAGAAAAACATGTACAAAATTTTGTTAACATGTATTATATACTCGTATTAAATAGTTAGAAAACAAAAAAAGAATGTAATATTTCAGAAAATAATTTATTGAGTATATATACACGCGTATGTACATAATTTCGGTAGTAGGTATTAGATACACGTATTAGATAGTTAGGAAAGAAAAACATGTACAAAATTTCATTAATAGGTATTAAATACTCGTATTAAATAGTTAGAAAACAAAATTAGAATATAATATTTCAGTAAATAATTTACAGAGTATATATACCAGCGTATGTACATAATTTTGTTAGTAGATATTAGATACCCGTATTATATAGTTAAGAAACAAAAACATGTACAAAATTTCATTAATAGGTATTAGATACTTCTATTATATAGTTAGAAAACAAAAATATAATGTAATATTTCAAAACATAATTTACCGAGTATATATACCCGTGTATGTATAAATTTTCGTTAGTAAGTATTAGATACCCGTATTAGATAGTTAGAAAACAAAAATACGCATATTAGATACCTGTAGTAGTTCAGAAAAATAATTAAATATTAATATGATTTATTGTATGGCAAGTGTTGCATGTCTAATAGTGAAAAATGGAAACAAAAATGAACTATGAAAAGTCTTGCATGAAGAATATATAGTTAGGAAACAAATCAAACAGTCATTATGTTGCGCTACATACCTAAAACAATCAAGG